AATAATACAGTACGGTGTGCAAGACGCTGTGATTCTAGACTGTGACTATACTTACGGTAACAACACATCGGGACTGGTAGTGAAGTGGTTTTTCAGAAACAAAGCTAGACCTGTCTACCAATGGATCGTGTCGCAAAAGCCACAGGACATGGGGATATTGAGAGGTCGTGTTGACTTAGCCTACAGAGCATCAAGCGATCCATTAAAAATGCACAGAGCTCTCCGCATAGTGAAGCCCAACACCGACATCTCTGGTGATTACACGTGTGTCGTTTCAACATTCATGGAAGAGGATTCAAGAACTAAGCAAATGATTGTTTTTGGTAAGTTACTTTGTTAAGCTCGTTAAGATTACGCTAGTAATATATAAGTCAATGGTTAAAATATGTTAAATATTTGAACAAAACCACACGGATGATATAGCTCTTTTCGTTGAAAATTCAACTTAATAACTATTGAACTTAGCATTGAAGTAATATGTACTTACGTACTAGAACAGCTATTGCAAACAAAAAATGTGCGCTACTCTGTGTTCCCGCTGTTGGTTTTTTTATCGTAGAATAAACATAGGTAGAATGATCCGTAGGTAATAGTAGATTGTATTGTTAAATAGGTAAATTATATCGAGAATAATATTTAAATTTTTCATTTATTTTGTATATTATATTTGCTTATTTAATGTAATATTCCATAATATTACATCACAATTACATTTTAATGATATTTTTATCTGAATATTTTAAAAGATATCCATGTCAAATATAAAAAACATACTAAATGTATGTTTAACAAAACTTATTAACATAACATTTAAATTACAAATATATTAATTTAAATTAGAAAAAGAGTCGTTCGTAAATGCTGGGCACGCGAAAGTTAAAAATGGACGAATTTATTCCACTTTGACTTTGATGTGGAAACCTAAAAAATAAAATAAAGAATAGTGAGCAGATTTAAACATGAAAAATTTAGCCTAATTATAATAACTTATACCTACATGTTTCTACAAAAAAATGTGTATTAATATATTCGTCCTATATTTATGTACCCAAAGAAATGTCGCTTTTGAACATATTAATTTCATAATCTATATTCCATGACAGGAGATGGCGTCTTAGGAATAATTTATTTTCTTATCAATCTATATCTAATACTTTTTATTGATTAAGTATCTTACTAGCCGATGAAAAGTAATTCCTTGGTTTTTACTGACATTTCTTGAATTATTTGTGCAATATCTAAGTACACACGACGGCATATTTTTATCAAGAGATTTTTTTTTCGCTTTAACTAGAAGCCTGCCAATAATAGTGCTTGTGTGAGATGATTGTTTTTCTTTAACTATCCTTTAAGGAAATGTTGGTAATTTTTTGCGCATTACTTTAACTTTTTATTAAAAGTTTACGTGTAAGAATATCTTCTATCTGATATAACTAGGCTGTAAATGGGCAGCAGCGTACCTGCTATACAATAAAAATAAATGATGTTTGCCAAATCGCTTACCAAGTGTGATGATTATGGCAAATATCCCCCTATATAGTGTAGTGTTATGCTACTTACATATCATTTTACACTATTTTAAATTTATTTTTCCATTCTGTTTTTGATTTTCTGCATTAGCCTCAAAACTGGATATTTTGCATCACCTTTATTTTCATAGGATCCTGTAACGTTTTTAAACCATAAAAACACAATAACAAATCATTTTCACATCGTATTTTCACGTTATCAGCACTTTTTAAATCGGTGTCAATGGAGTCTACCTTTTTCGGTATTTTATTTAGTTCTCCGTAACTCTGCAATTTCGGGCTTCGTGCGCACTGTTGCGCTACCTTTTTTCCTATATCAATAATATCTCATTTTTCACTTAAATCTTGCCGTTTCTCTATTACGAGCCTAAAACCAAAATTTGACATATTTTGACATCGTTGTTTATCTGGTTGTCATGGCAATTTTTATTCAAATATCGTTACCGGCCTGATGTTTTTACTTCAAAAATACTCTTTTCTTCTTGGCCATTTACAAAAATTTGCTTTTAATTTAAATAATTTCAAATAATTTCTCGTTCTTATCCCAGATCCGTCAAAAAGTATAAAAGCCGAAGAATCGGCCAATAGAGGTTCTCACTTCAGCTTTGATACGAGAAGCACCTCTTAAAGGCTTTATCCGCACTGCCTCGGGATCTTGCAAGCCTCTGCCTTCTCCTGAAGTCGTCGCCTAGCCACGCCTACGCCTCCACCTATTAGTGCCCGCGCTATGTTCGGCCGCTGAGCGTGCTTGTCTCAAGTGCTGCGTGTTCCTACTCCAGACGCTGCGTGTCTCTGGCGCTCCGGGCGCTGTGTGTGTCTACCCGGGCACTGTGTGTGTCTACTCCGGGCGTTGTGTGTGCTTACTCCGAGCGGTGTGTGTGTACCTACTCTAAGTGCTGCGTGTACCTGCTCAATACGCTGTGTGTACCTACTCCAGACGCTGCGTGGACCTACTCCAGACGCTGCGTGTCTACTCCAGGCGCTGTGTGTGTCTACTCCGGGTGTTGTGTGTGCTCATTCTGGTCGCTGTTTGTGCCTACTTCAAGCGCTGCGTGTACCTAGATTAGGCGCTGTGCATCTACCACAGGCATAGCCTGTACATACATTGTTTCCGTACTCATTTATCTTTATTAACTTTTATTTTTTTTTAAAAATTGTAATTCACTATCATCACTACAGCCCATCATCACCCTCATACCTTTTTTTTTTGTATAAGAAAAATAATATTTTTTTTATAAAATAATAGCTGTAAATATCTTTACAATTTTTTTGAATAAATTATTTTCTTTTTGGTTGTTTCGTTGTTAGGTTAGGTTCTATAGTTTTTAATTGTGGCTTTACATTTTATAAAAGAAACTGTAAATATCTTTACAAATTTTAAATAAATTATTTTCTTTTTTGGTTGTTTCGTTGTTAGGTTAGGTTCTTTAGTTTTTAACTGTCGCTTTACGACATTTTGGCGCCCAACGTAAAAGTTCTTCTCTCTTAATTTTTCTTTTTTCTCTTTTCTTCACCTTAACTACGCCTTATCCATTTCCTTTTGATTTAATTGCTTTCTCTTTCATTCTTAACTCTTTATTTACTCATCCTTATCATATCTTCCAAATTCTAAAACAAAACTTCATCTAGTTTTTCAACTTATCTGGATTATATTTAGACCTACATATAACACTTCACTTACATTCATCACTTTAATATTTTTATTCTAGATAACTTAAAGAGGTACAATTTTTTAATTAAAATTTTATTTCTTAAACTTAACTTTGCACTTAATTATAACAATGAAAAGGGTTATTAAGTACGAATTCCTTAACAAGGCCGAACTCGAATACGAAGTGAAGATTAGATGTGAGGAACCAGCTAATACTGTTTTGCATGACACTACATTTGTATATATGTTTGTATATTTGTATATAAGTTTGTATATATGTATAAATATCTATTTCAGACACATCTCGTTAGTGATGTTGCTGATCTCTGGCTTTGAGCCCTACCGCTCTGGCCGTTCTTAATCTTTACTTAAGTCATAGCGACTAAAGCTTGCTTAAGATTAATTTCTTTAACTTTATCTTCACTCAGGAGCGGATGGCAACTCCTTAAATAAGCCTGGATGTCCTTTAAAATGTTTTTTTTCCACGCAGGAGCGGATGACTACTCCTTAAATAAGCCTGAATGTCCTTTCAAAAACACACTTTTAGAGTGGTAGTCATTGAATGTGAACTCCACCCTTACCTGAATGCAGATGATGAATGTAAAAGATAGTATATCTGATTTTGCCTGGTGATGTCTGTTACTGCAAAGCTGTGTTTTTATGGTTTATTTTAGAATGTACATGTCAAAATTTTTGCTAAGTCAAAAATTTTCCAGGGTCGGGGGGGAAAATGTAGTGTACATATGCTATTACATATCGACGCTGGAAAGGAAAAATTATCCAAGCGACATCAGACTAACTTTACAGTAGAGCTGTTTAAAGTTTGAATTTTCTGAAAAAAAATCGTGTAAATTTTTGTAATGGTCCAAAAAGCCCAATTCTTAGAAATTTATTTGTTTATTTTTTTATCTACATTATAGTATACGTAACTATTAAAAATAATGCTTAGTTTTAAAGTTAGTGTCGCTTAGTAAGATTTTCCCTAAAAGTAGAAACGGGAAAAATTGACTAACCGACAAGCTTTGATTAAGGAGGGTACGGTAAAAATGTAGTATATATCTTTTTTTTTATTTATAACAGAGTAAAAGTTGCCTTCCCAATATAAAAAACATGTGGAAGTTGAGGCAAAACAACCTAAATATTAATTTTATATTTTTTTTTCCCGTAATTTTGACATAAACGACATTTTTACAGAAAATTGGATTAATCTTTCTTTAAAGAATTACTAAAAAATAATGGATAAATAAAATGCACTTAAACTGTCTTGAGTTTTATTAAGTTTAACAAAGCAACATTATGGTACACAGTATTAGTATTAGTTAGGTATTATAAATCTACTTGTATATCACAATAATAATAATTATGTGTTCTAGGAACATTGAGATCTTAAATGTAAGTATTTAGTCCTATTAATATTATTATAATGAATATAAAATTTGAATATGTTTACAAAACTAGTAACATTTCAGTCACAACAAATTTACCTCATAGGCATTCAGAAAACAATATGTAACAAAAAGAAAACTTATAAAAAAAACGAACTTAATTCAAATTCTAAAAATAACAGTAGCCATATCAACTATACTCTATCAATTATAGTATGAATCTAACAGCCGCCAGGGAACCATCCTATAATTGACAGAGTATAAGTACTGTGCGAAAACAACTTACAGCTAGTAATATTTTCAGTCATCATCTACATTATAATATGAAGTAACAATTAAAATAATAGGAACCCGTTTAAAGCTCTCATTGAATAAACCGAACTAAAAATAAACTTCTAAAAAAAACAACATGAAATAATCTGTATGTTGTAATTATTATTCATCATCTTCTATATCTGATTCAGGCAAGGTATCTTTTGCATTAGTAGCCTTTGGGATAATGGAGTATTCGTGATGGAATGGAGCAGGTATTACTTTATCTTTACAAAGTTTCATGAGATCATTATATTTGGCCTCTGCGATTGGCAGTCGTGATCGGTAGCAAGGCATCAGTGGACCTTTGGTTTTGGATTGAACTTCGACATTATACGATTTTGCATTAACGTTCATGGAGTCTTTGATAGAAATCATGGAAGGCTTATTTTTCTTGACAGTCACGACACGAACTTTGCTAATTTTCCCAGTCAAATTCCCTTTGAAGTATTTATCACCATCGACGTCCCATCTATTAAAACTTTCAAAAGTCATTGCTTCAACTTCATACGGAAAAGGTTCTTTTCTTGCCGTAGCAAATACAGTGTACCATTGCGAAGGCGCATGAATTATAGTTTTTTTAAGGTTGTTCTCTATAACGGCGTGTACACTGTCAACAGGCATATATGTGTGTCCTGTTAGTAAATAATTAATTTGTATCGTCTGAAGATTATTACACTCCTGCAAAGTAGAATGTATCATGGCTAGGACAGTGCGATTTCTATTCTGCCCAGGGCAACAGTCGCAGTATAGAAGAAGGTGTTTTATATTTTCTCTTTCATCCACAGATTTTATGTACCTGTGGAGAATACTTGCGATTTCATTTGCACCCCTTTTCCCGTTGCTTTCATCCCAATAATAGCAAGTTACTCTACGTGTTCCGTTTTCGTAGAAACATAGATTATATACCGCTATTTTTCTTGAATAATAAAGCAGCATTGACTCGCCATGTGGAGTATTCAACACCTTCTCCAAGTCGAAGCTTGCACATAATGTGGAAGGATCAGTTTTGTGTATAGATTTATGAGTAGAAAATCTATTAAAACTTTCTTCTTTCTCTGTTTCATGATCTTTCTTTTCTTTCTTTTTTTTTGGATCGCTGAGATCTGCATGTTGCAACTGTAAACATTTCAGGCACTTGTCTTTTTTAGGGACATGAAATGATATATTAAATTCTTCGCTAAATATTTTTCGGAAAATCTTTTCACTAACTATGTCTATGCCAGCTTTCACGTTGCGTTCTTTGTAAACGCTGTATACGTGTGCAATATTTTTGTATTCCTGCGGCAAGTAAACCCGGGTAGAATCATGACGGCAATAATGTGAGGGGACGGCTGGTAGGCTTATGATGAAATTGACGGCAGATTCTTTAGTACTAGGTTTGGTTTTGTTGTGTGGTTCACATTTTCCTCGCAAGTCTTCTTTAGCACTTCCCGAGGAAGCATTTTTTACCGTGTAATATATACACTTTTGTGAAATATCTAATGTTGCTGCCAAAAACTGTAAGCATACAGATCTTTTTCCTTCACCATCAGTAATGCAATACTTATATGTGTAACTGCGCAATTCTGAACTACTACGTTTACGTTTAACGTTTCCTTTGTCAGTCATGCCAACCAACCAGTCTCTACGGCGTTCAGGGGTAAGCGTCCAAAAATGTTTAAATACTTGTTGCCTTTTTTCTTCGGTTACGTTTTCACAATTGTTCCCACATTTCTTACCCTTACATGGATTAGGTTGAATTGATTTTTCTGGCACTAATTGACCATCTTTTCTTACGTATTCTTTTCCTGTTTGTTTCGAAAGAGCCCTTTCCTTTCTCGTGTTTTTCTTCACTCTTTTTAAACCTTTTTCTCCTACGTTCTCGTTTTCTGTATCCAAATTTTCTTCAGTATTATTTTCAAGCAATTCCCTGTTTTTATTCTTACTTGACTCTTTCCGCTTCTTTTTCTTATTTTTTCCTGTTTTTTTTCTTATTTGACTGGTCTTCTTCTTCATCACTGTTTGACGTGTCAGATCCTACCCATTCGTCAGAATCAACTGCGCCATTCTCTTGGTTTTTTTGGGGGGTTCTCGGGGGGTCTTGTTTGCGGGGGTTCTCTATTTGCCTTGGGGGGTTTGGCCTTTTCATATTTTCTAACGTAGCTGCATGGCACCAAGACAGAATAAAGTGGAAAAATCTTCATCAGACATGTAATCAACATATCGGATACTTGTTTTGGCTTTTCGTTTACGAGTACTTACACCTAGAGCAGCCTTATCCCTTGGAGGTAACTCCTTATTGCGAGAGACTCCTGGAGCTGGATCGTCAATCGAAGGCAAGTCCATATTGTGAGGGACTTCTGGAGCAGGATCATCATTCGAAGGTAAGTCCACACTGCGAGAGACTCCTGGAGCTGGATCGTCAATCGAAGGTAAGTCCATATTGCGAGGGACTTCTGGAGCAGGATCATCATTCGAAGGTAAGTCCAGACTGCGAGAGACTCCTGGAGCTGGATCGTCAATCGAAGGTAAGTCCATATTGCGAGGGACTTCTGGAGCAGGATCATAATTCGAAGGTAAGTCCAAACTGCGAGGGACTCCTGGAGCTGAATCGTCAATCGAAGGTAAGTCCATATTGCGAGGGACTCCTGGAGCTGAATCATCATTCGAAGGTAAGTCCATACTGCGAGGACTTGTTGTTCCAGTCTGCGAAGGATCGAGATAAACCTGCCAATTATCTCGAACGGTATCATTAATCGCAGATATGTCCATACTGTGAGAAACTCCTGATGCTGCATCGTCATTCGAAAGTAAGTCCGTACTGTGGATATGCTGCATGGTATCTGTAAGAGCTGCGAAAACTTCCTCAGGGTCATAGTTCTCTTCATCTTCAGTAATACGTCGTGATATTACAGGCGCAGTTGAAGAGCACTTACGCGTTTCATTCTGAAATAAACGAAGTAGCTTCTTTAATTTATTTTATCTAAAATCATGACATGACCATATGGCCAAAGATTTAATTAATGATGATTGATTACTCTCAATGACATTAGTCGAAATAAGTCAGCTAAAATGTACTCTGCAAAGTACAGAATCATCAGCAAATTATTTTTATACCATATAGTATCCCTAGTAATCGAACCAGGGAATTTCTTAAGGTAGAATACCCTAAAGGAAAACTTCACTAAGAAGCCAAATTAATATTAGAAATAATTTAGTTTATCTTCTTGTCGTGTGGGATACCGAGTCAACGAACGACCCGATGAACCCTGGTGTCAGAGTTTTTAAACTCCCTACTACTACGAGTAGGCCTCTGACATGGTTGTGTTACGACCGCCGCCGTCTAAGTGAACATAGACAGCAACCGGGACCGACGGCTTAACGTGCCCTCCGAAACACGGAACCATCTTTCTTACGGACAATCAGGTGGTTCAGCCTGCAATGTCCTAATCAAACTGGGAACAAATTCACAAAGTGAAAAATATCAACTTTGTGTGTTCCCCCCCAAGAATCGTACCAGGGACCTCCGGATCCCGAGACCAACGCTCAGACCACTAGACCACGAAAGCAGTTAGTAGGTACGCAATAATTAAATTAGTAAGATATGTCTTATATTTAAAAATATAATAAAATACGTCGGTAGGTACTTACAGACTCTTCAAATTTTAGTTGTCTGCAATATTTTTTTTATTCGTCTGTTTCTTTTCCTCAGTGACAGTCTGACTTTTACGTCCAGGTGCTTTCTGCTTCTCTGGGTCAGTTTCTTTAGACTTTTTACTGGCCTAAAACATGGTAAAAGTTTCATATTTTTTATAAATTCTGACCAAATTATTTATAATCCAAACATACACCTACCTAATTTCCTCTAAGCTAGCACTCACTTTTTATAAACATAAGAGAATAACAATTGAAAGATAGTTGTGTAGGTCCTTAAAGCAGCAGTACCAATATTACTTTTAAACACACGACTTTGGCCATATAGCTATATAGCGCCAGTGACGAGACGTGACCTTCAATCAATGAGTACCTAACAAGCTAAACGGAGCCCTTATCTAGGTATGATAGCAAAACAGAAATCTAATATAGGTAGGTACATAACATAAATAATAATACGAAACAACAATGAGAGATGCAAAGAAAATTACATACATACCGACTGTAAATCGTCCTTGGTTTTAAAAGAGATTCCCGATTCTTTAAGAGCCTTTTCCAAAAGACTATGACTACGTTTTCTTCGGTCCATTGTTCTGAAATAAAGGTACACCATGTAGTAACGCGAAAACAGCATTAAAAACGAATTTATTTGTTAGTTCAACTTACAGTTTTCGTGTTTGTCATAAGATAAGCGTAAGCGGTACCTCAGTTGACAACGGAATTGCAGCGTGCGCGTGTCTCCCAAGCGACGACCGGTCGTGCACTGAAGTATCTTTTTTACTTTGAAACTAACTTCACTGCATGCTCAAGCGACTGCTCACGCGTTATCCGTAAGTGTAACCGACGTTTTTTATGTGAATTATTTTAGGTAAAAATAAACTTTGCGCCTGTGCGTGACACAACCATAGGATGTAACCAACATTGGATAATCGTATACGGTCAAGTAAAAGTTGCCTAAATAATAAAATAACACTTGAAAACGGCAGGTAAAAATTGACTAACCGACAGTCAGTTGTATTTTTAAGCAGGTAATATTTGCTGAACCAGTTGAATATTAAAAAAAGAAAACTGCCAATTTTAACTAAACGCCATGTTCGAAAAAAACCAAATCAGCCAAAATTACCTAAGTGATAAAAGAACAAATCCTTTCTGAGGAAAAAATATACTATGCGCCTTACACTATATTGCCAGATACTGGAAAAATTAACTAAGTGGAGTAATTACCGTACGAACAGAAATGTCAAACTTGACCAAAGTCAAATTTAGCATTTCACAATTACGACTACCACCAAATTTTCAAAAATGCTCGAAAATTTTGTCGGTTAGAAAGGAAAAAAAGTGAAACCTCGCGAATTCCATAATGTCGAAGCGACATCAAAAGTCGTCGTAGAAGGACGTGAGTAAGACCAAACGACGCAGAAAAATCAGGCGATTCCAACAATGTTTATAACTCAATATGGCCAAAAATGTCGCTTGGATAATTTTTCCTTTCCAGCGTCGATATCATTTTACACTATTTTAAATTTATTTTTCCATTCTGTTTTTGATTTTCTGCATTAGCCTCAAAACTGGATATTTTGCATCACTTTTATTTTCATAGGATCCTGTAACGTTTTTAAACCATAAGAACACAATAACAAATCATTTTCACATCGTATTTTCACGTTATCAGCACTTTTTAAATCGGTGTCAATGGAGTCTACCTTTTTCGGTATTTTATTTAGTTCTCCGTAACTCTGCAATTTCGGGCTTCGTGCGCACTGTTGCGCTACCTTTTTTTCCTATATCAATAATATCTCATTTTTCGCTTAAATCTTGCCGTTTCTCTATTACGAGCCTAAAACCAAAATTTGACATGTTTTGACATCGTTGTTTATCTGGTTGTCATGGCAATTTTTATTCAAATATCGTTACCGGCCTGATGTTTTTACTTCAAAAATACTCTTTTTTTCTTGGCCATTTACAAAAATTTGCTTTTAATTTAAATAATTTCAAATAATTTCTCGTTCTTATCCCAGATCCGTCAAAAAGTATAAAAGCCGAAGAATCGGCCAATAGAGGTTCTCACTTCAGCTTTGATACGAGAAGCACCTCTTAAAGGCTTTATCCGCACTGCCTCGGGATCTTGCAAGCCTCTGCCTTCTCCTGAAGTCGTCGCCTAGCCACGCCTACGCCTCCACCTATTAGTGCCCGCGCTATGTTCGGCCGCGGAGCGGGGTTGGCTCAAGCGGGGCGTGTGCCTCCTCCAGACGCTGCGTGTCTCCGGCGCTCCGGGCGCTGTGTGTGTCTACTCCGGGCACTGTGTGTGTCTACTCCGGGCGTTGTGTGTGCTTACTCCGAGCGGTGTGTGTGTGCCTATTCTAAGTGCTGCGTGTACCTGCTCAATACGCTGTGTGTACCTACTCCAGACGCTGCGTGGACCTACTCCAGACGCTGCGTGTCTACTCCAGGCGCTGTGTGTGTCTACTCCGGGTGTTGTGTGTGCTCATTCTGGTCGCTGTGTGTGCCTACTTCAAGCGCTGCGTGTACCTAGATTAGGCGCTGTGCATCTACCACAGGCATAGCCTGTACATACATTGTTTCCGTACTCATTTATCTTTATTAACTTTTATTTTTTTTAAAAATTGTAATTCACTATCATCACTACAGCCCATCATCACCCTCATACCTTTTTTTTTATAAAAAAAATAATATTTTTTTTATAAAATAATAGCTGTAAATATCTTTACAATTTTTTTAAATAAATTATTTTCTTTTTTGGTTGTTTCGTTGTTAGGTTAGGTTCTATAGTTTTTAATTGTGGCTTTACATTTTATAAAAGAAACTGTAAATATCTTTACAAATTTTAAATAAATTATTTTCTTTTTTGGTTGTTTCGTTGTTAGGTTAGGTTCTTTAGTTTTTAACTGTCGCTTTACGACAAGAGACAGTCTAAGTGCAGGCCTGTTGTGGTTTATACAATAAAATACAATAAACATTTTTTCTTATCTATATTCATATATTATTATAACATTATTGCTAAAAGAGAAGTATAATAGTAATTAAATTATTCAAAAAAAAAGTGGCGGAAAATTACGGTAATTGAATCTGACACACATAGCCGGGATAGATGTTTTGACTATTGAGCAGGTAGTGAACTTTAATAGGCTGATTAATATTAGGATCTAATAGAAAAACGGATTAGCTAATTAAAATTAAAATGTAGTCAAAATTTCTATCGTTTAATGTTTCTAATAACTGCAATTTAATTTTTTTAAAGTTCTTTGTTTTATTACCCGTATTTACAGAAACATAATTTAAAAATCCTTAGTAATAGAAACATTCATGTCCTTTATCCGTAGTAGTTCATGGCGTTGGGTTCCACAAATTGTTTTCAAATATTTGTTCTAAGGTTTCTGTATATTGTGCCCATCAACTCAAACGCTGCTCAAGGATGTGATTATGACGAGACTTAGCATCATCATAAAATAAAGTAACGTTTGAATATTTGACCATTAAACTCTTGAGTTATTGCGCTATTCAATGGATAATAAAAATTAACAATCGAATAATTAAACGATTTTTTTTGATTCACGACATCTGCAACCAATTTCATACAAAGGAGGTTATAGATACGTTATCACCTCTGAGGACAGGAATGAAATTCCTTACAGACTGTTATTATACTGGCTCTTTGTACCATTCAGAGGAGCTGTCCGAATGATGGTTAATGGCAAAAATATCTAAGGTCTTCCCTACTCATAGCTGTTTTAAACGAAGATTTCGTGTGGTGGTGGTGTAAGAGAATTCAATACCCCATTTCCTTTTGTTCGTAAGAGACCGTGAGAAATCTAATAAGGTCTCATGGCTTAAATAAGTTAAGAAAGATGGTGGTATAACCATCCTGCTTACCCCGCACGTAAAGTACTTCGAACGAAGACGGCAGTAGGACAAACCGTGCTACAATGGTCCTTCCACGTGAACTTTACGGCTTGACAAAGAGGAATAATTCTGAACAAACCATGTAGTACTGTTGTAAGAATATTCACTATCCCATACCATTTCGTGGGTGTCGACAGAGGAAATAATACAGTATATGGACATCAGCGTCTTCTTGATAAAGATTATAAATAATAAATCTTTAAAAATATAGTGCTGGCGCTTGCCTACCCATCTGATAAGCAGGAAAATAAGGAATAATCTGTTGGCAATCTTTGGGGATGTCTATGTTCAGCGGTGGACGTTCATGCTTTAAATGGATGGATGACAACTTCTGAATACTTTCGAAATCTGTTCAATAAAGAAAAGTTGTGATATAATATTTTATGAAATATTTAAAAAAGTTGTTTTATCAGTCTAAAGCACGCGGGATCATTGTTACAAGTAGTGAGTGGAATTTTGCAAGCACTGCACTTTAAAACCGATTCAAGTAAAGCTTAAGCTTTTTCTTGAAATGATTAACACAAGCAGCAGATTTAGAGTACGAAACAGCTAAACTAGCTGTGACAAAAGGTGTGTCCCTAAGCTATAGATTCTCAATATATCTACCATTGTAGATGTTATTTGCACATTAACTTTTACTTTAATAAGCATTCTATTTCAAATATATAAAAATGAAACTTTATTGTGCATCAAGTATAATAACTTCTTGTTAATCTTAAATAAAATACAGATGGACTGGTGGCAGATAAATTTCTCATTATTTCGCTCAGAAATAAAAGAATCATAAAGCAACGTCTCGCGCTGACCAAACTTGTGCTCAACTGCTGCCTATTAGGTCGTAACTACTTTTTTTCTAAACAATGTATATAATAAGTATTCTTGAATTACAGAAAAATAAATTCACTGAATATGAAATAGAGGTTAACTCAAACCACAGGCAAATATTTATAAAAGATAGTTCACATCTTTTAGTTTATTCTTAGTTGTCTTTTTTTTTAAATTGTAATCCTAAACTGGGATTTTCTTCTGTATCGTGGAAGCAATTTACATATTAACAATTGCACAAGGTCAAATCTGCAGACTGGAACTTTTTTACTCACTCTACTCCTACACTCAACTGCACCACGGAGCCCTCAAATTCTGATAAATTAATTAATAATTTTACCTGATAGAATAATGAAAATATTCAGATCCGGATCGCATCATTTTGGTATGAGGGATCCAAAAAAATTCATCGTCTTATCAGGATTTTAGAAGGGACTGCGTAACCTTTCATTCCCATGATTAGAGACAAAATCGAAGATAAAATATTAAAATAAGTTTTTTATCGTTTATAGTTACAACAAACAACGGTGTTACGAACAGATACTTAATTTGAATATATTGATATTGAAATGAAGTGAGCGCTGACATAGTTCAATAAATTGGTTGGTAAGCTATTCATGAGATAAACCACATTATTTTGTAAAATAAGGGCGACAAACGAGTACATTTCCACCTGATGGTAAGTGGATGCTGTGGCTCATAGACATCTACATTTATACTCGATTAGGAATCAAAACGCATATGCGTGGTCACCCCTTCTTCTTCGATGGTCTTAGATGGAGTGGCTCGTTTCCAGTAAAAAAAGGTCTCCGGATCTCTACACTCACTTTACGAAACACAGTAGTATTAAGCTGCTATTTTACGCAGGTGTTGTGTGAGAGCGTGGTCTTTCCCCAGTCGAGCCAACCCAATCGTGCTACAACCATTATATAGCTGCAGCGTGGCACTACCACGTATAAAAATATAATATATAATTAAAATTATTCGATAGTTATTCAAGCAGATGCTTTATTCGAAAAAATTTTTTAATTGTATTCATTGTTTAGTTCTAATATGAAAACATATGTATGTATTACTCCGAAGAAGGAAAAGACTTCCGCAAATATCACCAAACTATGCGAAGAGGAACATCAAAGAGGTTTCCGATGTGAACGGAAGCGGGTTTCCGTGCGGTTGTCAATTAGCCTGTTTGTATCAACAGACTGCCCCGTGCAGAACTATTTTGAAAATAATCATTTAAAGGGGACGGTATTGAATTAGTGATCACTGATCAGTATATATTTATAAAAAATCATTATATTTTGTACATTTATACATTATGAGCAGTTTTAACAGTATATAATACGCATAATATGAATTATATATTATACAAATTTATAACGACTAAGAACAAAATATCAAGGTTATTTTATTTCTATAAACGGTTTGTTTTCTGCCTAGCAGCCTGTCTGGACCCTCTTACCTATTTATGTGGCTAAAGCGGTCCGGTTCAATATTAAGGACTTTATTGGAACCAGATTTTTTCTGGCTACAATAAACAACAAACCAATTTTTCTCATGTAATATACAATTGTAATATAGCATATATCAACTAAACCTGCCCTAATTAAACTAACAATCTAAAAGGAATGCTTTATGATGATATTCGATTGAATTGCTTAATATATGTATTACGTAAAGAGTTGTTGAGTTGTACTTGAGAATCTAGGATATAGCACTTTAGTTATACATATTGATGATAACACGTAAGCCTGGAATATTCAAAATTAACTTCTTAAGTTTTGTGTGTTTACCAAATGTAAGCATAGGTAAGGTAAACTAAACTGCCAGAATAAGCTATTTAAATAGTTCGTGTACATGTTTTCTCTGATTTTATTGTGTGTTATTCCACTGGTTGTTATGCTGACCTAAGTCTACCGATTTAGTTCAACAGAGTGTGAAACTATGATTTTTTTAAACGTTACCCCCGTAACGTTGTACTAGGATTTCTCCTGTGTCATGGAGGCAGATTTCATACATAAATTACACAAAGACAAACAAACATCCTTTATTAACAAAACAATTATTTGTAAGCAATATAAACAACACTTATTCCGTCCGGAATTCGAGCGCGTTCCTGAGGGATTCCCTTTTTATTATTTTCTCTTCTCATTTGATAGATACCGTTACTCATCTCCTGTTTCTGTTTCCATCTGTCGCCTTGTGCAAAACACATGAGATTATATGGGATAATGATTCATCTTAATGCGCCGCCACCACAAGCCACTGGTCTTATTAATACGTGGTAGGGCCACGCTGCATCTATATTTTACTTGAAGCACGGATGAGTCGGCACGATCAGGGAAGGACCACGCTCTCACAGTATACTACCGTAAAATAGCAGCACAATGCTGCTGTGTTTCGTGTGGTGAATGTAGAGAACCCGACACTCTTCTTACTGGATACGTGGCATCCTATCTTAGTTGCCAGCATCCACTTACCATCAGGTGGACTGTGTGTGAAAACTATTATGTATAATCGTGAGCTGGTACGTTCTTGAAAAGAAAAATGTCTAGCAGTGGTCTTAAAAAGTCAGCTTATGAGATAAAAATGAACAGAAACTGTAACGACAAAAATAATTATCATCAAAGAGGAGTATAAATGAATAATGGAATTACGCGAGAGAAGTTCGCCATCTTAGCACGCGCCAGTTTTTTACAATTCATTAACTTTTACCTGCGTGTTGCAAAATATTCTTAAAAGTGTCATGTTTCAGTACCGGAGACAAACTTTCGTCTGATCCAGAACAAGACTGACGATGATACTGTGAACGTCATATGTGCTGCGGACGGAGCGTTTCCTGCACCAAACCTCACGCTAGCCACACCTGAGAGGTACGCGACTAACTTTTTATTCTTTTGTAGTGTAGTTTGAATATAATAACACCATCTTGACCAACATAAGAGTATTAAATTTTTTTATGTATTTCATCATTTTCTAAATAGTTGTAAATACGTACGCTGTTATCGCTGTCTTGGGAATTAACAAATCATTTAGGTTGCTACCAAATAATTAGTCCTTCAAAAATATGGATTCGTTAGTTCGAAAAGTATTTTTATCAAATTTGAAAATAGAAAAAAAATTATATATAACGTGTCTCGGTCGTAAAACATCGAAGACGTGTGCTCTACACATCAATTGGCTTCAAGGCAATTGCACCCTATGGCCTACATCGCTACATTCATGCTTAACTAAAATTACTTACTTTATTGCGTTGATAACGCATGTACATAGATGCAAATGTGGTTTTAAGTCCAAAATACAAGCGGAAAAAATACAAAAATACAAAATAAGATTTTTTAAAATAACACAACATCGCTAGCAGCCCGGTATTATTGTAGGATATAGTCTATTTTACTTGAGGGGATATTTGGCACTAAACTGTAAAAACTGACCTCTACTCTATCTTATACCTCAATTGTTATATCTAATATAATAAATTCAGAAACAAAACTGTTAATAAATCCGTCACATTATCAATAACGCGTTTACCTAATTTAAAAAAAATACAGCTATTACGTGTTTCATGTTTTGGTTGCCTGTTATTAGTGTTGCAATTTGTTAATAATATCAGAAAAAAAGCATTCCGAGAAATTCTTTGTTTCGGTTTTTCTATATTTCTATATTTTCATTTGACAAGCTGTGATGATAAATGCATAATGAAAGGTTAATACTATCATCATAATCAACATAAGCTCGCAAAAGTTTTCAGCTGGTCATGAGCCTCTCCCGATGATTAGATTAGCTTAATTGCCACCCTCAGTATCAGACGTCATCTGTGTCGCTACGTTAAACAAAAGCAAAGTGGTTATGTAATCTAAACAAAAGTAAAGTAATTTAGTGTATTACGAGTAAGATTAGTAATCGGTAAAAGTGCCCATTACATTCATAACGCATCTGCATTGGTTGGGCATACTCAGAATAAGATAGTTAATATCTTGTTTAGCAATATTGTCCTAGGTCCTGCTGAGATGCATAAATAGTTGGTGTCTTTTGAAATAATATTTTCTAGAAAATCCTTCAGAGATTTTATTTGAAGCAGATCCCAAGCATTCTCTATGGAATTCAAATCTAAAGAGATAATATGATGTCATGGCATCAAGTTCGTACAACTGTTACCACCTTGGACGGCCATTGTCGTGAAAAAACAGGAAATTTTAACCCATGTATGTTCGATGTGGCAAGACTGTTGGTTCTAGCATCTAATTACGGTATTTCAGCCACCACAGTACCCTGTATCCAAACGAGGTTCATTAATTTCATAAAATTAATTCCTGTCACTCCGTAATTGTACCACATTGGAATGGATGAACTTCTTGAGAGTGTTGAAGCCAGATTGTACGAACAGAAACATTCCTCAGGGTATGTGTGTACTCTCTTCGAATCAGGATGAAAACCAAATCGGGATTCGTGATAAGCACCAACGATTTTCATGGGGTTCTAAGTTCACATGTTCTCTAGCTCATTGCAGTTTTCGTCCATTATTTCCTCTTTTTAGAGCTGGAACCCTAAACGTTCTACGAGCATGAAGGTTAGTTTTGTGCAGTCTCCTCACAATTTAGTCACTGACAAGCACCTGATGTTCTGCCTTTGGACAATCGCCTCGCCGTGTCATTTGGTTGCCTTCTTGCAAGAATTTGCAAAAAACGGCTTTTGCTTGTCTGGGTGTAGTAATGCGGCTTGGTCTTAGATGTCTCTCCGCCACCTCCCCTGTATTATGATGGTGCGTGACCACAACCTCGATATCAAATTTACCTACTTTGCGTTGAAAAGTACCAACCTGCTGGATTCCTACAGCTCTTAACATCTCTTATCCAGTTAAATGTCGACGTTGCATTGCAATATGATGTCAAATTCTTAAAATCAACCCAAGTTGATTGAAAAGATATTTAAATAGCGGTTTTCAACAAAAAGAAAAAACAATTTCTCTGACAACATAATGCGATATTTTTATTGCATGGTAAAGAAACATATTAATATCAAACATTGGTATAATATAATATCATATGTATATAGCAAAAATAAACTGGTGCCGTGCTAGAATTGCCTGAATGCCTGTTAAGCGTGACGTATTGGGGAAGGTGGGAATTTAAACACAGTTTCATGTTAAACGTGACCATCGTGGAAAGTGGGAATTTAGACACAGTTTCATGTTATTGCGGTGCCTAGCTTTAGCCCAGATGTATACGAATGATTAATTTTGTATATAATTTTTAAGTATTAAACGTGGTAGGTTTTATTATTCAAGATAGGTTAGGCAAAAGGAACTGATTGAAAATGAAATTTTTTCTTAGGGTGTTCAAATTAATCAAGGTTCATTTTTCACTCTCTGTTTCGTAGCGTAAAAAGAAAATTTGACAAAATTTCTGCAGTTCGAGGTTAAATCCGATTTAAAGCTGCCATCTCGTGCACCTTACATCGAATCTCTTTCTTTTAGTAAATAATGTTCAACTATTGTTGATCATATGTATTATTATGATTATTGATTGATTATTAATAAGTTGTTATACTCGTAAAAAGCCATTGTATATTTATCTTTAAAGTGAAAGCCAACAGGTGCTTGGAAATAAAAAAAAACATATATGTGGACAGAATTTGCTCAGAAAGATCGTACGAACGTAAATGATTGTAGGACTAATTACTTATATACACAATAATGATGAGTAAATCTAGGAGCCAATGTATATTAACTTATACTCTCGCTAAAATTTACTAAGAAGTATCTCTTTTTTGGGAAATTTTATCGACATATTTTTTTTAAATCCACAACCATATCATAGTTCAAGAATATGAAAGGCATCTAATTGAAAATAGGTATTTCGTTGGGCTACTTTATCTTGATTATTTTTTTGATAATAATTAAAAAATATTCATTTATAGAATTTTTTTTTTTAACTGAATGTCGCACGCTTACTTCATGTTGGACAAATATCAACCCTAAACGGCAGGGCGCAAGCACCGCGTCTTATAGAGGTAATACACTGCCTTAGGTCTTATGAATCATCTCTCAGCAATATTAGTGAGACCTTTATATTTTTCTGAGCAATCTTATTGCCCTAAGTGCCTTTAACTTTTTTTTATCGACTCCTACAATTCCACTGCTGGACACGGACAATGTTTATTTATTTAATCTTTATTATACACCTTATATACTAAGGGATATAAAGAGCGGACTTAATGCCTTATGGCATTTTCTGCCAGTCAACCCTGGATGATTTGATAAACTGTGGCAGGTGTAATCAATCACTTCAGAAATAAATAATAAGGATATAAAACAAAATAAAATGCAAATGAATAGAATAGATATATAGTTAGTAAAATATACATACTTACTTAATATATAATACGGGATAAATAATAAATATAAGGAAAGATAATAAATGTTGCAGGTAGTAGAGATACACTGCAGCTATATTATGTTTTCAGCACCAATAGGTTCGGTCGACCAGTTAAAGACCACGCTCTCATAAAATACACGTGTGAAATACTGCTGTGTTTCGTATGTTGAGTGTAGAGAACCGCAGCCCTTTTTAACTGATAACGAGGTAATTCTCAGTAATTAAGGACGACAATACATTTAAATTCCTGGTCTGGGATTGTTGTAGATATACGGTTAACATCATCAACATACAACCAGGTTCAGCTAAAGAATATGGGTTTTTATAGAAAATTGTTAAATAAATGGTGGCTAGACAATTATTATTTATTACAGTAAAGGAATATTCGACTTGCTTCTTACAAGATGAATGACATGACATTCCTAGAAAGAATAAAGGAATAAAAGACTATTTCCCCTGATCATCAACGTATCCTCCAAATGCCTAATACACCTGCACACGGTGCATCTTGCTGGCAAACAAACTATATCTAAGAGATTGATGTAGAACTGAGTCGATCGATCGTTTGTTTTAGCCTGGGTCGATTATGACCCATTGACTGGTAAGGCGATCAGGAGAAAAGGATTCGATTATTTCGATCCATTGATCATTCATAGCTGTTGGTTGTTCCTAATGTGTACTTTGAATATTTTTTTTATTCTTAAATTTAATTTTTAATACATATTTGACCAATTATAATAAGACCATATTATGTTAATATGTTTATTGTTTATTTATTTAATCATTAAGTATTATAAAAATTGTGTGTGTTTTTACATAATTAGGTTACAAAATAGTATACTCATGCATCCCCGCCATTAACGTTTCAAGAAAACGTTACTAGAAAATCTGACCTTTTGTTTTTAATACCGTAGAAAATTTCTCCATTAAGTCGATAAAGAAATTTCATTTCAATTACTATTGTTAATAAATATGCGTAGTTTGCACACAAATGTAAACACAGCAAAGTCAATTAACAGCATGCTTCAAAAAACCAAAAACAAAATGAGCAGTAGACCATTTTATTTAATATTTGGTTGGTAATTGGTTAAGGAATTTTAGCTAAAGTGAATCCTCAAAATCCACAACTTTAAAACCGAATTGTGGTATACTTATGTATATTACCCCTACCGTTACTGTATATGATGAAATTGGCATGTGTGTTTTTAAAAATAAGTCATTGTTTTTATATTTATAGGAATACCAAAATATGCGTGTGAAAATATGTAATGAACTACCTAATAAATAGTTCAAATAGTTAAGCGAATGATTATGTAAGAAACATTTGTATAATTGGATGAGAACTTAATGATTTTATGATTGAAAAGATTTTTTAAATGATAATTAATTAATATTGGCTCTTAAACAGTTAAAAATTATTATTTGCATGCTAAATAATAAATTATTAGCGAAACCCGACTACACTGTATAAATTGTAACATCTTTTACCGTGATTCTTGTAAATAAAGATTTATGATTTAGGTATGAATTCACACTGAAAACACAGTGTGTATCGATTTAGGGGTTTTCATTAATTTTTAATTCCGAATCCGAGATCCGAATTTTAAAATTCAAATTTAAATATTTCCGTACTTGTGGATGTAATTAGTTTTCAGTAAGATAAAATCAGTTTTGTAGTTCTTTTTAATTTAAATTGTTTACTAACGGGCAGTTCATACTGAAAGTGAAAATACTCATCGCACTGTCACATTACACAATACTACATATTATATTTATATTAAAAAAGATCTATATGTTTTATTGAAAGGAGGCTGGATGGAGTTTCTCATGAATTGAAACTGGTGAACGGCAGATACTCTGCGGTTGCTTCGGTTACGTTGCTCGACGCTGACCTTCCTTCACCTGCGGAGTTTATTTGCACTCTCCGAATACCTTTAGCAAATTACGCAGTAAGAAAAGAAGTAATTTACTATCCGGGTAAGAATTTATTTTATAATCATTTCTTATATTTAGGCGAACACTACACATTGATAATTGATAGAATCAGACGTTACTTTGCGGAAATCCATAATAATAAAAAATAAAAATATAAATTTCTTCGCAACCTTCCGCTAAATAAATACAATGATGTGTCTTACCTGGATTGAAGAGCACCTACCGCCCTCCCTCAATTGCATGCACTAACTCCGTCACCACTATTCCAGGTAAGACACACCATCGACGATAATACGACACGTGTTTCGCCTCTACACGAGGCATCTTCAGGTAATGTAGACTCTACGGCAGCTGACTGCTAAGTACACTCAGCACTCATGGTCACGGGCGGGACTGAGATGTTCAACATCCAGTTGTCAAAGTTAACCGCGGTTACCACAGATTAAAATTTAACTTTTGTCCCGTGACCATGAGTGCTGTAAAGCGTTCGAAACGTCGGGTACTTAAAAAGAATTTCTTTTTATTATTTATTCCTAAAAAAAGAAAAATGATGAAACAAGTATGTCAGTGCCTTGATATAATACCGTCATCGACTCTACTGCAACATCAACATATTGTAAACAGTGCAGCGCTGAAAAAAATAACGCTGCGTAATATTCATTTCTTGTGAAAGACTCGAAAATAATCTCACAGAATAATGTGCGAAGGCCGTTTGAACTTTTTATCAATGGAAGGTATCGTGTACACAGCTATGAAATCTGTAGGAGAGATGAAACATTGCCTGCAGCTTTTGAAGTGAATAATTTTATGCGCTCTTAACTCCATTTCTTGTGGGATAAAAATTCTCTAATAGAAAAATAGTGGGCAAGGGAAAATACAAACATTTTCAAAGCATCCGCATCTAGTCCGAAAGGTTAACCCGGAAGGCAAGTCAAGCGAGATTTCAACTGAAAATAGTTCGCGCTAATTCTTAATATCGGGAGATTCAGTATACAAATACCGTTTTATTAGATGCTAAAAAACTGAAATAGTCCTTTGTAAGCATCCTGATACGATTTATGAGACCGGAAATTTATGAAACGTGTTAACTATAAGAACAGCCGCTACATTTAAATTGCAAATGTGTGTTTAATTATTAAAAAGGTTTATCTTTAAGACATGTTTCAAAAAAAATTCGAGGATGTTATGCTCAGGTCCAACAAAATTTACTCTAAAGTAGCTGATACTATATACTTCGTAGACTTAAAAATATTAGTTAAGTTCTTTAGTCATTTATAAATAACAGATAATGTAATGATAACATTTTTAATGGAAAGTTTTCACTCACTTACTTGGTACGTCTCATCGCTGGGCGCAAGCCTCCTTCTATTTCTGAAAGGGTTATGGAGCAATGGTCCATCTTGGTGCTCGTTGTCGAATTTTAAACAATTCTTTTGGATATATTTTATTTCTAAGAGATGTAAGTTCACTCACGATGTTTTCCTTCATCGCCGAGTACGTAGCAAACAGCACTTTAAATTGCAATTAGCAATTTTATTGGTATTGATAAGGATCAAACCTGAATTGTGATATTTACAGTGAGCGCTTGGTCTGTGATCTACGTCGGATTGGTATGAAACTTTGTAAGTAATAAAATTATTAAAAACACAAAAAAATGAAACCAAAATAGGAAAACGAACATTATCCTTAACAATTTCTTTATTTAATAAACATGTGTTTCTTCCATTAGGGCCCATTAGCACAACTCCTGAAATGCCAACCGCGGCCGACATGCAACTCGCTGCGGCTATTGGCTCTGAAGGTGAGGAATCTTACACATCGGTCGATCAACCAAGAAGCGAGTTCATTTTATTCCAGTTCTCCTCCCTAATACTAAGGCGATGATCCAAGCTAATTTTAAATTCATAGTTTCATCATTATACATACATACTCAAATAATATTCTTTTAAAAATATTGATTGAAGTCAATTCTTTCACATGTTTTACAAGTTAATTGTTTAACTCTGCTCCCCCCAAATATTATGTTATTTTTACTACAGTTGGTTCTTACGGCAGGTAACACAAAAACACTGGCTAGGCGGATTATATATATATATATATATATATATTTACTCGATGTTTTGTTGTGAATTTTATGTGTGAGTGGATAAGTTTGTGAGTTATCTTATTTTTTTTTTCATAGAATAAGGGTGACAAACGAGCACACAGTCCATCTGATGGTAAGCGGTTGCTGTGGCCTATAGACTTCTACATTTATTCTCGCTTGAGAATCAAAACGCAGATGCGTTGTCACCCCTGAGGACTAAGATGGAATGCCTCGTCTCCAGTAAAAAGGGTCTCCGGATCTCTACATTCATTATACGAAATGCAGCAGTATTACGCTGGTATTCTGTAAGAGCGTGGTTCTTCTCGGTCGAGCCGACCCATTCATTCTACAACCATAATACAGCTGCAGCGTGGCTCTACCACGTTTAAATATTATTTTCAATACAATACATGTATTGTATGTAAAAAGTTGCTTAATATTTAAAAAATTGCGTTTTTGTAAATCGTTTTTGATGGTGTTAAGAAGTCATCACTTTAGTAACCACTTCCCATCACAAGTGCAAGTGTTTTACGTCACTTAAGTTTTATAAAAATGTAAGAGGGTAGTACTTATTCAGACAAACTGCTGGGTCGGTAAGGAGTCCTTCCACTTAGTACGTGTGGTTCGGTGGCATCTTTCTCATACAACTTGGTGTTACTCAGGGCACTCTTAAAGGTACAGGGTTATTTTTCAAAGAGTATCCAAATGTTATATTTAAGTTCAAATAATGTATAAATTATATAACATTATTGTAGTTTTTGCAAATACAAGTAATAAAGGCTTCTAATTTTATTTAAAATCATCCCAAATTGAACGTGATATATGGGCAACAAAAACGTGCACGCGCGCTCCTCTGTGTACGATTCACCGAGCGACTATTAAGAATTAGTGCGTGCGTAGTAAAATAGTAGGCGTTAGATATTTATAAATGATAATCAGTAAAAATAATACATTTCCACGCGTTCTGTATTCAAAATACATAAAAGACAAAATGTTTGAGATTTTTTTATTAATTTTTCTTCACCATTCGCCTAAATCACTTATTCCGACCCTTCTCTGCAATTTAGGGCGTATTTTGCAAAATAACCCTATATGAAAAACAATTTATTACCCATAGGGTAGAGTGACCTGAGCTACGTCCGATCGAGTTGTATCGGAAACTCACTGCGAATGCTGTAAAGCGAGGTCTTTAATAAATAGCGACTAAATTAAAAGTAAGTTTTACAATATAGTACAATACGCTAAAGCAGAATACAGTGTCACAGGAAAATGTGTGAAGTTCTTTCCCCGTTTCCTTTGTGATTGTCAGGTGCATGTACATTTCCCGTACTTTTTATCTCACTATTTCCATCTAGTGTATCTACATACTCGTATGTTTGCTGAAGTCAAAGGCGGGACTGGCCATTTTGTGGAATGTCTAAGAAACTATCACTATGTGGAGAAAAAACGATTTTAATACCAATGATTTTTTTTACTTTTTTTGTGAAATAGATTTTTTTTATTTTATACTTTATTGATTTCATATTACTGGATATTGTTAGTATTTAATTTGCTCGCTCCAACTTACACAAATTTAACACTTAAATTATTTACATTAGTGCAGGCGGATGTGAATCCACTACCCGTTGTCATATGTCGTTACATGTATCAAAGGGAAATAAAACAGGAGATGGGCAGCAGCATCTTCCTGATAAAGACTTCAAATAATGCTGTGGTTACAACGCGCCAGCAAAGCCGTTAAAAAACTTTTTAATTTTATTGGAATAACAAACGGGTTAACAGACCATTTTATTTTAAGTTGCTTCGCCATTCCATTGACATCTACAATTGCTCTAAACAAAAAAGACTATAGATGCTTTATTACCCATGAAGGTTAAGATAAAATGCCTTGCAGCCTGCAGCACTGCTGGTTTTTTTAAGCAGAACGTTCACACCAGAACAGAGCAATGACTTTTGTATAAATTAATAAAATTATAGTTTTTCATTACAAAATTTAAGTGAAAAAAAAATGGTTTTACAATCCACCTGATGGTAAATGGCTATTACTGCCAATAGACACATGCAACAAACTTTAAGGAAAGAAGCCTACACATGGGGTATCTCATTACTAAGATAGAATGCTTAATAGCGTGTATACCGGTATTAGCGCCATGCACGCTATTATGTACGTAGTGCTGTTTAGTGTCAGAAAGCAGAGGAATCTTGGGAAGGAAAACAGTTACACCTAGAATGAACATTTTCAGAAATTAGAAAGACTTAGGCCCAGTAGTACAAATTTATCTATTTAAAGTGTTCGCTGTTACTTTTTTATGTTTTCATCACTACATTTATTTATATTTATTTCTTATTATCAAAGTAAGTCTATAATCTATAGAGTAAAAGTGGGTATATTAATTGTTGTCTGAAGTAGGTATTAAGAATATTGAGATCCTCCAATACTTCTTTCACGATATAAGGGTTACAAACTAACACACAGTCCACCTGTATGTATCAGGACCATGATACATTGATTAAGAATCAAAATGCAGATACGTTGTCACCAAGAGTCTCTTTTTCTAAACTTACCCTGGGTATTTCCCGGCAGCATGATTATGCTATTTTACATTGGTATACTGTAAGAACGTGGTTCTTATCAGGTTGAACCCATTCGTCGTACAACTAAAATAAAACTGAAGCGTAGCTCTACCGCGTAAGAAATGACGAAAGTATTGTAACCTTTATAGTTAACTTGTAGGTTACCGTTGCTTAAAAAGTTTGATAACTATCGATTTAAACCAGCACATATGATTATTCTATGTTGATGTTTAACTGTTTTTTTATATAATTTGTTTTATTTTTAGGAACAAGCACGTGCACAGTTACAGCATTGCTTTTGCTACAAGCTTTAGCTCAGGCATTACTGGCAGTCAAATGAAAACATTGTAGGAAATTGTTTATGGTAACAAAAGTTATTACCGTATTAAATCATTCTTATCTTATGAATCGCACACGGTTTTTTGCTTTTTGTGATCTCGTCCATTACGCTGAATATCTATGCACCGAGGGACATTCCAAGTGTTACAGCTATACGTCTAGTCATATTGTCCGAAGTCGCATCTTGAAGCTGAAAACAATGGCAAAGAACTTTAGTGAAATAACACATTTTGAAAATTGGCTTTATGCGTACATTGAGTTATAATATATACGTAGTACATTATACTCGTAACTCAATGTTTGTGTATTACAAAATAATGTAAAATTTTTTTGCGTTTTAAAATATTATACTTATTTAAATGTAACGGCTCTATGATATGAATAGTCATATTTCAGAATATTTTTCTTAACTTCAAATTAATTATAGATAAAATTGTAAATATCGTCCTCTATATTTCATATGATGTTATGTTGGTAAATTAGGAAAAAAATTGCAAATTTTGGCCTAAGGTTGATTATTTTTAAGTAGACACAAAAGTTTTCGAATAACGTGATACATAAAATATTTTAATCATGTCTTTGAGGTCCTTAGTAATATTATCGTTAGAAAACAATTTAGCTACAATAGTCACTATTGTAGCTAAATTGTTTTCTAACGATAATATTATGTATTTAAAAAGCTATCGCATGTCACCAAATAGAACATGGTTTTTAAATTATATTTGTTATGATTAATTAATAAATTATTTTAGTTAATTTAAATATTTACAAACAAAACTATTTGCAGTCTACATGTTTGCATTATGTATATTTATATGACAAAATTTATTAACTGTACAAAGTCATAAGAATATCTATCATAATTTGAAAAAGGGATAATCCCTATATTAACAGGGTAACGCATTTTCTTTTCATTAACTTACTCATAATGGTTATATATGCACTGATTGACAATATTATGTAACCGTATATCTAAATTAAAAATCCACTCATACTTATTTCGTGATCGTTGGTAAAATAAATGTAAAATAGCTTTTCGCATCATGCGCTCTATCAACATTTGTTTAATTGTTATATAATAACGCTTTGAGCATAACATCTGATTAACAAAAGTAACAAATAATATATTTATGAATAAGGGCTCATGTAAATATTTGTATGGAATTTGTATGAAGTAAGCTGTTTTCATTTTTCAGATTTCTTTTGTGTAAAATGAAATTATGATTCATGTGCTGTGCATATTGTTGTTTATGGATACGATCCAATAAATACTTTATTGTGAAGAATTCTTGACATTAATAAAACAGACGTTATATATTTATTATTTTTTGTTCATTTGGCGCTATTATTTTGCATAAAGTAATAAAAAACTTAGAACAGGTCGTAACAGGCGGCAGAGGGGTACGAATCAGGATACGGGCAGCAGCGTTTTCTTAATAACGACTAAAAATAAAAAAATGCTATTGCCAACCCGATTTTCAAGCGTGGCAACTGTGGCAAATATGCAAAAGAGGCAATATAAAGGGTACGCCTATGTTCAGCAGTGGACTTTAATAGGCTGTAGTGGTAACGGTATAACTAAGGGGAGATATTAGTGGGAATGTCGTCGTTATAATTTTTATTTACTAAAAGCTTCATTTGAAATTGTCAATAAAAGTATTCGTTTTCCATTCCATTGCAGCCTATAACAGTCCACTGCTGAATAAAGGTTTCAATGTTTTTTTTGTTTTAAGTGTGCTTTAATAATGTTGAGCTGTTATCAGGAAGATGCTGCTGTGCATCTCCTGTGTCAGTTTCCCTCCGTCAGCTCTTATGACCCTCACGGGACACTATGGGATAGTGGATATTCTTACATCAACACTAAATGGTTGATTCGTTTTTGTTTACTTTATTTTTCTACTTAGTCTTTCGAAGCGAATACGACATAAACCATCCTTAATACAACAGGTATGCGAAGACATTTCAACGTGAAAAAAGGAAGGTAAGTTGAAAATAAGGTAAAAGTGGTCGTATTACTCGTAGTACAATGATTATACTAGTATAAGTGATGTACAAAAATGTTACTAGTAGTAAGTAGCAGCGGTTTCTTAGTAAGAACTATATTTTAGCAAATATGAAGTAATGAGGCAATACGCCCCTTCCTCATCCGAATATGGGATGGGAGTACCAATCACCTCACAATTTATTTGTTGCTTTTTATCATTGGCTTTTGTATTTTGAGTATAGTATACGAAATAGTTATTCCATCATTAGAAGATCACCAACATTTAAGATAATATGTAAAAGTACAAGGGCTTTGAAAAATCTGAAAGGTTGTAAATATTATATTATATGCTCGAGTTTATATATATATGTATATATATATCTATATATATATATATATATATATATATATATATATATATATATATATATATATATATATATATATATATATATATATATATATATATATATATACATAATTAAAAGTAAAATGTCTATTTGTATATGAAAGCATATACGATACTTTTAACAAAAACGATTATTGAGATTTTGTCATTCTGTATGTCTGTCTGCTTATCTGTTTGTTCAGGCTAATCTCCGAAATTACTAGACCGATTTTGACGGAACTTTCACTGGCAGATAGTTGATATTATAAGGAGTTACTTAAGCTACTTTAATACTGGAAACAGACAATTCCGTGCAAAAAAATTAAAACCCATGAAAGCCAATCATAACAATTACGATGCGGACGAAGTCGCGGGGAAAAGCAAGGCAATATGATCGCCCTTTAGATAACTCTCTAAAACTATTTCACATTTAACTTTTTATTTAGTAGAGCTATGGTGCCGCTGTTTATTTTTATTTTATTTATTTACTCACTTTTCAAGTAAATACGCCTATTTTGGAAGTATACTTTAAACTAGGGGTTGGTAAGTTAACAGAAAATATTATTTTCGTGTTTATGACCGCAGCACCAACACGACGGCTCGACCGGAGAGGGTGATCATTCGAACCAGAACCAGCGTAAAAAGCAGCAAAATATTTCTGTGTTGTGTATATAACAAGGAATTCCCTCTGAATGCTCAGGAGTGACAACAAATCTGCATTTTGCATAACCAACAGAAATGCCGCAAAAACATCTTCCACTCAACTATTATCAACATGTACCACGCCGAAAGAATCAGTTAATAATGTCAACACGTATTTCTCTAATATTGGTAGACAACTGGCCGAAAAAATTCTTGAGAACTCTGAATTGAATCTTTCTCCTACTATTGATAGCTTAGCCCATTCCATGGTTCTTTTGCCTACTGATGAAGCTGAAATTACATCTGAAATAAATAATCTTAGAAGTGACTCTGCCGTTGGCTGGGATAAAATATCCGGTGGCTTCATAAAACAAAACAAAAAATTTATTGTACCTCCACTTACCTACGTATGTAACCTGGCCCTCACTTATGGCATATTCCCAACAGCTTTTAAAAAATAGGAATATTTTTAGATTTGGCTAAAGCTTTTGACACGGTCTCTGTTCCCATATTGTTGCATAAAATGGAGAAGCTTGGTATAAGGGGTGTACCGTTGCAGCTTTTCAGAGATTATCTTACAGATAGAACACAGTTGGTAAAAATTGATAAACATGTTAGTGATGAGCTTCCCATCTGCTATGGTGTTCCCCAAGGAAGTATTCTTGGCCCTACCTTATTTCTTCTTTACATTAATGACCTCTGCAAACTGAAACTAATGAACGGAAAAATAGTTACGTTTGCTGATGACACAGCACTGCTATTTACTGGTGATTCATGGCCAGATGTATTTAACTTCGCTCAGATTGGCTTAAACAGAGTGTCCAAATGGCTAAGCGATAATGTGTTAACCCTCAACGTGGATAAAACAAAGTACTTGTCCTTCTCCAAACATAATAATAAATATGCAACCTGCACGGACCATGTTATTACTGCTCATTCTTGCAATTTTCCTTATTGTCTGACATGTTCATGCACACCTTTGCGAAAAGTGAATTCAATTAAATACCTTGGCATTCTGTTGGATGATAAGCTAACTTTTCATGAGCATATTTATTCACTTTCAACGTTGCGTAGCAGATTCTAACACTATTAAATCTGTCTATTTTGCTCTATGCCAATCTTTAATAATATATTGTATTACGTGCTGGGGTGGGGCTACCAAATCATCTCTTCTACCCCTCGAAAGATCACAAAGGTTAATCTTAAAAGTAAGTAACTCTCTTCCATTTAAATTTCCAACCAGTCAACTTTATAAAATTTCCAAAGTTCTTACAGTCCGGCAACTGTTTATTATATACACAGTACTAAAAAAACATGCACAATTAAAATATGACCAAAAAAATACACAGCACACGAGACGCAAAGACCGAGTGTGTACTTCTCATTATGACCATTGTACCTACTTTTCCAGAAGATTTTTTTGCTATCTTGGCGGATACCTGTATAATAAAGTTAACAAGGAACTTAATATTCACTTCTTACCTAAAATAAAAGCTAAAAAATGTATCCATGAATGGTTACTGAAGACGGACTATAAATATACGGAAGATCTTTTTACAACACATGTGTAAATGTTGTAATTTTTGCATTCACTCAGCACACGCACACGCACACACACACACACACACACACACACACACACACACACACACACACACACACACACACACATACACACACACGCACACGCACACACACACACACACACACACACACACACACACACACACACACACACACACACACACGTAGCATTATTGTTAAATTATGTATATACGCGTAAATGGATTATAACGTATCATTATTGTCAAAATATGTATTGCAAGATAACATACTTTTGTATTTGTTTAACTGGGAGGGAGACCTGATGACCTGAAATACAGGTTCGTCGCCTAGTTTAGGCATCAGTCTCTCACATTAATTTGTGCCTTTTTTTTGTTAAAATTCGATTTTGTTAAATTAATGTGGAGAGAAAAATAATATTATT